GGGGTTATGTGATTTATTAGATCTACTTCTGGAACGTCCACGGCGTCTAGATCGCGATCTGGAATGCCGTTTCTGGCGCCTACTACTTCTGGATCTTGACCGGCGTCTTCTCCGTCGATCGGAACTACGGGAGCGAGAACGTCTACGCACCCGCCGACCAGTCACACGTGACCTAACCGAAGTAGATGAATCAGGCCTAATACTTCTATCTCCCGATTTTGATCTCTTTGGCTTGGTGACATCGACGGATGTAGTCGATTTTTCTCGAGAATTACAGCTAGAAGAACTAGAGGACTTCGAAGAGGAGGATTGACTGGACGAACTTGACGAACTTGACCGTGAACGCGACTTTCTGGAAAAGCATTCAGAAGAATCCGGTTTAACTTCATCCAATTTTTCTACATTTGAATGAGAGCCATTAAGGTTTGGGGAATCAAGACTTGAGGAGTGATTCATACTATCCAGCAAAGTTGAGCTCATATCGGTCTGAGAACTTGAAGGGGATCCATTTCTTTCTGGGTCAACAAGTAAACATTTCCCGTTATCACTCATAGGACGTACACATATGAGTAAAAGAGTATTATGAAGATCATCTAAAACCTATTTTCGGCAAAAAGCGAGGAGCAATATGAAGATCCTGAAGGATAGTGAGTAGGAGAAAATGCGCGCGAGCAGTTAGGACTGGTGTGGGGCGGGGCTAATTATAATGAGGAGATAAACAATCAAACAATTATTCAATTCGCAGATGTATCTGTTATATCTTATTTTATATTAAGTTTTTCGGTTACTGCGACGCTAATTTAAAATCTAAAATACGAATTATCCGTTGGGATCTCCCGATCTTATCCTATTGGGATCATTTGCGAGCACTTTCATTCGAAATGATGGTCCCCCTAACAGTAAAAATTAAGTTCCTTTATTTTTGTCCGCTCACGCCTAAGCATAAAATGAATATATTTACATCCTTCATATTAATTCAACCGAATGGATTAAAGACACAGGGAAGAAATATTTAATCCAATTGTAAAGAAAGGCTATAAAATATTTTGTATAATTATAAATAAGTTTTGCTCAATAGTACGGGAAAACTAATTTTTGTGTGTATGAAAAGTTATCAGACCAAATAAATGAAAAACATCAAAACAAATCAAGAGGCAGGATAAAAGATATATGGATTTACTCTAAATCGATGAAAATCCTTAATTATAATTTAAGATAAAACGTCACTTTCGTCAATTAGAATCAGATTGTTTTTAAACCCTCCTAAACAGTGACTATGTGATTATAGTGACTCCAAGAAAGTGGACCTTCTTTTCG